GCGCGGACGGGTGAACCCATTATGAGGGGGTGTTACTCCGGGCCAATCCCCAACCATCCGGAGAGAGAAACTGGAGAGACGAGAGTCCAAGAAGGGCGCATGTGCGTTGCTAAGGCCACCGGATGGGTCGCGGAGTTCCGCGCGCGAACCCAGACACCCGGTATACGTGGTCAAGCCGGTACGAGGAACACGCCATTACGGACGAACGGAAAGTAACGTGCGTAATAATTATGCCAGCGTGACATATGTGGAAATCACGTTGCTCCAAATGACTCGCGTTGATATGTCAATAACGATACGCGGATCAGCGTGTTGGAATAAATATCGAAAGTCCCCGAGATATTTGGTAAATTAATATAATGCCATAAGGAGAAATATCTGTATCCAATTTGTAATCTTTGCTCTATCATTTGTCAAATGTATTGGTATTTTGTTTGGTTGACAGACATTTTGAATAATATTGTGGCAAATTATGATGAAATTTAGAAATGAATAGAATTGCAAGTGCATAAGCATTCGGATGCTCTAGTGGCGCATTCGAGAAACACCCACGCGATGTCCCAAGTCGGTACTGCAGGAAAATGTAATTTCGCTATACTTTGTATAATATGTACACGGATAGGAGAATTTTTCGAAATTTGTAACATATGCAATAAAAAAAATAAACGACCGGAGAAATATCAAAAATGTGGTCATTGTTTGACGGCAAACTACTACAGTTTTGAAAGTTACTTTTCCCAGTTTACTATGACGATCAATTCTTAAGCTTGGAGTTTACACAGATATAGTACTCAAGATGTAATACTGGCGGGACGACTTTCTTTCGTTCAACTGGGGAAAATCGACCTTCGTACATGAATATACACCACCCTTTCTAGGATTTTTGATAAGTTCTCTACTCCCTTTCAGAGATTTGGTTATATGGAACTCAGACCTACGAGGCGTTTTCTGCTGCACCTATTTCAGAAAGTGCTCGAGGAATATACTTATAACCGAACTGGATAGCACTCTTCGTTTCTGGCATTTGCATCACCCTCGCATTCATCCCTTTTGTCTGAAAACAGAGGTTGATGGTAGTCAGGTACAAATGGTGGTGCTCAAACTGGAAAGGATAATCACAGAGCCCTGAAAATGAAACCACCTTCTAAGGTTTGAACATTTTTTCTTTCGCAAGCATCCCTGAGTAGCTCCGGACCACGGAATTATACTCTATGAACCATCCTTATATAGGAATTGCGCTTTCTAACGATCACTAGCGAGAAAACCATACATGGGAGAATTTTGTTAATTTTTTACTTCTACGTTGTGAAAATAGCTTAAATATTTTACTATAAATTAGCATACGAAGCTCTAATGTCAATGAAATGGATATAATTTATTTTTCATTAATAAACTAATAAAAAAGTATCATCAGGATGGAGCGTTTCATCCCAGTAGCCCTCTAGTAGCTAATGAGTAAAATACAGTTTCTAAAAGGGCAAGGGATGAGAAACAAAGGAATCTGCATTACCGATATACAAAAAGGACGAGTTCAAAATTGATGATACCGACGAGTTAGCCAATTTGTCGGTCAAAATTATAAAATTCCAAATAAAATTCAATATTCTGAACAACCTATTCTTGATTTTGGATTGTAGTACATTATTTAAATGAAATATTTTAACGGAAGAATGATATTATTCTCCGATTTTTATACCAATGTACAACTGTCGGTAAAGAAACGCTTTCCCATATTACCACTCTTGGTACAACGAGCAGAAATAAACTAACGTCGGTAATAGCTGAAACTGCAGATTGTTACCGACGAAGGATCAGCATTTTGTCGGTAAAAGATAACCACATCTTTACCGTGCTATCCTATAAAATTAAGGAATAATGCTAAGTTATGGAATAAACTCTACCAAAAAATGTTTTAAATACTATTTACACAAGCAAATGAAATGGGCATTCGACGAAGAGTATAAACTCTGGAATAGAAGAATAAACTCTCCATATATTAAGATTCCAATGTAAAAGATCATATACACTAACGTCTATTAAACAGAATTAATAACAAAGAAACACACGGTACTCAGCTATATTATTATCTATAATTAGACATACATTACTAATTCCCACCGAAGATCAGAAAGGTCATGTTTACTTTCGCACACTATTTCATTGTAATGTATACACGTACAATATATTATAGAGAATACACACACGTGTTGAATAAAGAACATTGTAGACGAAGAAGAATCTACTAAACGTTTAGTTAGTTGTCGATCAACGTCGTAACGGTTTCTAGCAATCGAAAGTTCATTATAATTGAAGTGAATCAAGAAGATCTTCGGAGCTAATCAAAGGAGGAAGTGAAAAATGGCACTATCTATAGCTCTGCCTCTGTCTGGTTTGGAAGCTGAACATTTCACCTCTGTGGGGGCGAAAGATTTATATGAACAGGGTTTGAGAACTTTGAATGGTATTAGTGGGCCGATATCGCCGAGTACCGCGAGCGAATCAAGTGGAATCTGCAGTTTAGTACCTTCCAACGAATCGCCCACACCGGATCAAACATCAGATTCTTCCAGACCAGAAACGCCAGAAGAAGAAGAGGTATACGAACTGATAATAAGAAAACAGAATATTCACGCAAATTTACATTTCTTTGAGCACACAGTTAAAAGAGCTACTCAGCCACTTCTTTCATCTAATTTGGATATTTTATGTAAATATTTTTATATATTGAACGAATTCTATGTCTTCTTCCGTCTTTAAATTTCTCATAAATGTATGATAATTCCAAGCATAGTGATAAATAAACAGTGAGGTCATATAGGACATTTAAATGCGTAGAGTGTGTACAAAATGCACATAATTCAAAGTAAAGAACATGTTATAATACATACTTAGAGGCTGAAACATATTTCTAACTCTATTTATATGATATCTATTGTAAATATTTCTTTAAATGCGAAGCATATCTCTATTTGTCTAACTGTGTGGCATCACAAAGGTTAACTGTGAAAAACGTTAACAATCAGGAAAGCTATAATAACATAAAATCATATTAAAAAAATAATAATAATATAAAAATAATAAAGAAAGATGAAAATTGAAAATTTCGATTTCGTTTTCAGGCTCCGATTCGTATCTTTTATAGAGAACGAGATATATTAAATTTGGGTGCGAATCTCAGAGAACCATTCTGGCAAATGAGAGTCCCAACGACGCCTCGTTACGATTACAAAAGTTTCATAGAAAATAGATCGGTGTACTATCGTTTTGTCGGAGAACAAGGACCAACGAAAGATTATCCAACAGTGAGTTTGCCAATTTTATCAACTGAAAATGACTACTGCTGCAATAAGGTCGGCAGTTCTACTTTCCAGTAATTTCAACCGACCACAATCAAATGAAAGTGAATCAAAATCGAATAATTTTTTGACATGTACTATAAATAAATTCATAGTCAACTAATATTCGTTATAATAAATTTTTGCGTTTTTCTTACTGCCTTCCTTATTGCTGCGAATCCTATGACTTTTTAATTTACATGGCAACGCATGGGAAAATACTTCAAAACAAATGAAAAATTCAAATCAAAATACTTTTTTTCCTATAATGTCAAGTTTAATACTAACAACAATTTAACGGACGTCTCGTATCGAAACATACACTAAACTCAATTACGTTACACGATACACAATTATTTCTCTAACCATCCACAAACTAACCTGATTTCTTGTTATTTCTTCGAATTTCAGTTACTATTACGAATATAAATAACGTATTTCGATATGCAAAATTATCCTAACTAATTTGGAGTCTCCTTCAAGTCCTTTGCTCCAATTAAACGTAATAATTCGTCTATCCTTCTTCCAGTCTATTCGTCTCCGAGAATATTTCCATTCCAATTACTTTCTACCCACGTGGAATATTTCCTCCTTCCTCTTCGGTTCTATCGCTCTCCACCGATGCCTCTAAGTTTCGTCTAAGGATTTCTAGCTTCTCTGGTTTCGTTGCTTGATACTGATAAATCACTGGTAAACAGACGATTAAACAAACTGTCCAAAACCTAAACGGACGAGATTTTCGCCAGTAATGGTTGTCAGGAAATGCCGCGATTGTTGCGCCGACAAAGGAGACTTTGCTCAGTGATTGTGGAAAACGGTGCAACAACGATAATATTCTGATTTCTTTGACGGCCTAAAAATCGTGAAACAATCAACGAAAATTAGAAGATTTGTTAGTGGAAGAATTAAAATCCCATTTGTTCGTTCAACGTACTTTGGAAAATTTGCCTCCGAGATCCGATATTCCAACATCTTTGATTCTGTTGTGAACTCGGCGATAACGTGCCGCTAAATAGTTCTGCATTATCAATTTTTCTCGCTGTGCGATATGCTTCAGTGATAGGAATCGAACGATCGAAGGGGATAGAGGCAAAGGAAGGAAATAAATTTTCATGAACTCGACAGACTCGATCGGTCGTCTTCCTTTGCGTTAGGACTCGGCCATTTTGTGCGTGTCGAAAAAATCCTGATGAAAACAAACTAGAGACAAGTCGCTCGCTGATGATCACACATAACATCGCAGAAGGCGTGGAAACCGTTAAATTTTTCCGATTTCAAGCTGCGAATTTTAAACCTTCGAATCTCGAATATTCAAATTTTCAAATATTTAAATATCAAATTTTCAACTTTGTTCCATATTAACATCATCGGCATTTTCAAATGGGAATTTTCAAATTTCAAACTCTCCACTCTTCCGCGGATTTTAAATTTCAAATTTTTATTTTTCCAGAAAACTTGTCAAGATTGTGGTTTTTGCGAACCATCGCCATACCTGTTTTAGACTTTCATCGATGTTCAGGATCACCGACATTCAAGATCACCGACAAGGAGAACGGCGTTACGACAACAGACTGTGATACTAGATAGACAAGCGGCAGCCGGCTTGGAAATAGTCTAATGAACAAAACTAACGAAAACTAGTGAATAGATGCGCGATAAAGTGCATGCTTCTTAATGAAAAAGAAAAGGTGATCGCGTATTCGTCGTTAAGTACACGAAAATTCTACTCCGTACTATTTAACAATTAAGAAATTGAGCTTCGAGAAGCGATACGAATTTCTGTATTGAATATTCCAGATTTTTCTTTTTTTTTTTTTTTCATGTGCCTGTATCGTGTTGACTGGATGATTGATCGTCAGATACGAACGATAGAGGTTTATTGAAAAATTTTGCGAGTTTTGTTCTTTGATGACACACAGGCTTTAGTTAATCGTACGAGACAATTGTGCCAATTTTCATTTCACGACTTATATTAATTAGCCGTGTGTCTGAAGATTACATTTGCGTCGATTAAACGATAGTCGGTAACGGGCCGCGTAATACATTTCTCATATTTTTTTATAATATATTTAACTATACTATAGAAACAGTACGGGCCCTCTCGCTATGCAATTCATGCATACGCAGTAAATGGCTCGTCTGAAAGATTGTTTACTATTAGGTATTTTAAGAACGTCGTTGCCGGGCGATTCTAAGAATAACCAACAATTGCAATTCTTTTTTACAAAACGTACGGGAAAATGTGACACCTATACGTTGCAAAGGAAAGTTTATATTATTAAGAACATCGTGGAAGAATATTTGAAAACGCTTGAATTTACTTGATTACGTTTAAGAGTTTCCCCTATTTTATGAAACCTTTATTGCCGCTAAAGCACGAAAAATGCCAATTTTCTTAATCAATGGTCGCACATTAATCAACGTTAAGTTGATAATACTAGCTGTGACTTTTTCACAGGTAGAATTATTAATAAGCATTCTATTAAGTATACCTCTTTGTGCGCAACGACATAGCGACCTATTATAATATTACGAACAATCGACCAATGCGCTATAATTATAATTGGCTTATACATTTTCACGATAAATGTAATGTGCGTTCACAGAGTATTGTAATTGTACCAAAGCCATTTCGCTAGAGTCTTTACTGACCATTGTTTATAAGCGGGTAATAAACAATATTTCATAACGACGCTATGTTACGCTCAATTATTTAACTAATACTCATTAACCATACGATTTTCATTCATTATCATATAACTCTTAATGAATCTTCTACTCTTCTGTATTTATGCATCTTTCTCTCTTCTATATTCATGTATTTTTTATAAATAAATCAAAGCCAACGTGCATGTCATCGAACTCTTAATTGCTTAACATTTCAGAGAAACCAATCGTTACGGAGTTAAGAAGAAAGTAGAAGAAAATCTGAATGCAATATGCAACAATTGCGTAAAAGTTATTTAATCTGATTGTTTTATGAAAGATACCGATAGGTTGATTACAAAGAACGACTATTATTAATCTTAATCACGGTTCAATCATGAACAAACTTAGCTTGAAATCTCCTAATTCTCAGAGAATTACTGCTGACCTGCTTTTTTCATTCAACTTGATTAATGGCACTATCTGTTGTCCGCAATTCCTAGAGTCGATTATGAAGTTTTATGCATTCACGGAATCATTTAGATTTTCACGATCTTTCCTTCAATATCCAGAATCGTGTTAGTCGTCCGCGTAACGTTGAGAATTCGTTTGACACGATATTACACTCTTTCACAGATTCTACTAGTTTTTTACAGAATTTCCATTTACAAACTTTTGTAAAGCCCTAAAGCGGCTGTAACGAAACTACTGAAAACTTGTAGAACCTTTTACGAGTGTATTATGCGCATTATACAAAACATTTTGAAAATTCATTAACACCGCAATGAAATAGTGTTGGTAAAGTTCAAAACGAAATCTGTAAATGGATTCATCGCTGAATCTCTCCCTTCGTATAATGTCTATTTTATAAATTTAAAAAATGTGAAACTTCGATTAAACTTTTATCGGTCTAGCAAAACTATATATTATGTAATTTTATTAGAAGATCACAAGTAGAAATTTTCAACATCGATTCGTAAATGATAATGAAATTTCGATCTTGTAACAAGAGAATACAGTGGCGCGCTTCAGTTTCCAGCCAGAGCGAATTTTTAAACCTGTTATCCAACTAGCGTATTCAAAAAGCGATATCTAAAAGAATTTATCAAGCAATAATAATAATAATAATAATAAAGGTGACGAATAAAAGAAATAGTATAATGCACGAACAATGTTACACAAGCTACGATAATACTAGTTGTTTAAAATTCTTTAAAATAGACCGCTTTTCAAATATAAAGTAAGGAATCTATCTGGTCTGAAACTTTTCCACGTCGCTGTATTCTCTCTTGTAAAGCGAGCCTATCGCAAATACGATGTTACGATGGATTCAAGCCGCAATTTCCAAGATCTAACGCGCGAGCGCGTCCCTTTCGTGTCCGCCAACTATTTACACGTGCCTGTAGAACGCGAGAAATTCTCTATCGCAACGACAAGAGTGTAACTGCGATGGTGTAACGTAAAGAGACGTGCGTGCGAGCGTGTGAAGGGATGCGCGACGCGAGCGTGCGAGGGCCGTGCAAAGGGATGTGCGCGCACGCATGTACGCGTGTAAGCGCGAGTGCGTGCGTGGGTGCGTGCAACGCGCGCGAGAGATGTGCACGACGACTATTCAGATATTGTTGTTATTGTTGAGGGAACAATCGCCCGTCAATAGGCTGCCCCGGCACAATGTATCTATTCAGGTGCGGTCAGGGGTGCTCAATCGATCGGCCCCCCTTCGCTCGCGATTCACGAAAAACCCTCGCGAAAGAACGGAGCTAAGCCGCTCTTCCAAAGATCCAACGTCCTCTCCAGGTTTCACAGTTGACTTGAGATATAGTTTCCTCTCTATGAAACGGATTCGTAGCGTTGCGAACTGGATCAAACGAATACCAAAGTTGGTCGGCGATTATGCTCTTCGTTTTAGATGAGGTGCACTCGTAAAAGAATGACTAAGCGTAGGATGATTTCATCGGATATCGGTGGGTATCCTTCGATCGATGCTCTTCTCCATGGAACGTAGCTAATGATCCAGTAAACGTTGGAACGAGCGCAGAATATTAAGCAGCGGTGCCCGCGTAATTATCAGTTTCACATTTAAATAGCCAGGCCGGTTTGGCATTAATGCCATTGATTAGATCGATTGTAGCGGGCCGCTAGAAACACGGCTGATTGCGGGCATAAATCGGCTATCGCTTACAATTATTATTACCCAGCCTGTGCTGGTATTTAAACCGATAAACGGCTCGCGGAATCGCGATGGCGTCGCGTCATTGTTAGATTAACGCGTCGGCGTTAGAGAAGAGCATTGAAAAGCCCCGGATGGACGGTGGCGGGAACGGGACCAGGCTTCGGCTTCGCCGGTTTCGGCAAGGTTGAATCCACGCGGAGGGAAAAAGAGGGCGCAATGTGAGAGCCACTGCTTCGCGAGTGTACCAACCTTCCCTGCCCATAGCGATGATTACGTATGCGGGAATCATTGTCGAGTAACGCGCGATGCACATGCAAAGGCCAAAAATCGTCGAAATCAGTCGAGTTCAACATCAGCATTGTACCTGGCCTTTGTCTCTGCCTCATTGTTGTCGGTACTCGGTGTACAACGTACACGTACGTACAGAGCGAGCCGGAGAGAGAGCACGCTGGGATAGTTCGTTCGCTGGTCCAACGTGAACCACATACACCTACAGGACCTTCGCTATTTGCTATTTATGCTAGCGAGATCCCGAAAATCGGAGCATTGTTGCCGGTCCGCTCTCTGGCATTGACTAGAAAATCGATTCGAACGTGGACGCGGACGCGCTCTGTGAAACTCGCTTTCACCCTTTCCAAAATATCTGTCCACTTCGCGTCAATATTACAATTTGGATAAATACGCGACTCGACTCGCCATCCGTGCTCGTTGCAGATTCTAACCGCGACGATTACCCCGCGGACGCGCCGCTTTTTAGATCCATGCACGCTAATCGACCGAATCGTCCCGGATCCGCGCCACCGCTGTCGCGAAAAACCGAAACAAAATCGCCTCGTATCGCCATCGCCTTGCGTCGCGTTCAAACGTCGACCGTATACGCTGTATATGGGTAACCAGGCCATCGGTACACGTTAGTCGGTTTTATGATACACGACGACAAGTTCGCGTCGATTACGAAATAAACGCGAGGCTCGGTTCTTGAGACTCGGACTTGCAAGTCTAAAGCTACGAATGTTCTGAAGCGTCCGAAGAATCTCGTCCCGGCTAATCTAATTTTTTTGACTCGTCTTTTACTTTAGATATTGATAAAAAAATCAGTAATTAAAGACTGAGAAATATTGGACCCGCAGAGACACCTGAGTCGAGAACTTCGCTTTAAGTTTGCTCAATGTCGAGAGCTCAGAGCGATCGAAATATGATCGATCCTTTGATCTGATTGCACCGAATGTGCAAATACTTTCAGGAACATCTATATAAATGTAAGTGCATGTATTTATTGTTCCAACGTTTGTAAGGAAATGCATCTTCTGTAAGCATAGCCTAAGACCCACATCCGAAGAACATTGATCGAATCGTGCAAGAATTGATCGCATCTCACGCGTCTTCTCACTTAAGGGTAGGTTGAGTCGTCTGAACGAGACCGACGTTGAAACAGGACTTGAACGAGGCCGTGAACCCCCTCGTGTAAAAATGATGAAAATTCTTACGAAGTCGTCGCGCTATCTCGCAAAGGGTTTATCTAAGCCAATCTCCGGGTAACAAGGCCGTAAACCTTGCGCTGCTGGCCAAAGTAATAACTCAACTGCCAAGCGAAATAGATAAAAATTATATTCACCGTACCGACACTACCACATCGTTCCTCGTTTTTACACAAAGATGGAAAAAAGGAGACCGGATAATGCAGAAGCAATCCTTTCTAGCTTTCTAGTTTTGACGAGCCAACCGAATGTGATTGGATTAATATCTTTGTCAGTTCTTTTTACGTACAGTATAAGCATTGACTTGCATCCATAAAGTAGTACTGGAATTTTTGCGTTTCATTCATTTGCATCAAAGCCAACACGAAATTAAAATATTCTATCTAGCGCATTTTTTTCATTTTTCAAGATGCGTCGAATAAGCGAAATGGTATTACCCTGGCTGTTGCAAAATAACGAGTAAACCTTCTAAATTAAATGGTGGAAAACTAGTAAAGCATTCGATCTCTTTCTCTTGTTTTTTTTTGTATCGTTTGCAGACGACAGATGGGACATTTGTAACTAAAGAATGCGAGATTGTTTGAGATCTAGTAGTAATGATGCTCTATCAACGTTTTAGATTACAGAACCGCTCAAGATTTAACCATTCTCAATCATTCTCCTTTCCAAAGTTCTTCCCGCGTTAACACGTAACACTCGTCGAGCGTTAAGACGCTGTAACCAAGGACCAAAGAAGCGATATAGTAAGTATCATCTGCAACCGGAAGCGCGAAACGGGAACGGATGCCCTCATGATTTTTCGCGTGTACAAAGGTACAGAGGGGCTCGATAGGATAAGATTTCCGTGGTGATATCGGAACGAACGAATGGAGAAGGGGAAGATAGAGGATGAAGAGGTGAGGAAGAGCAGGAACAGCAGAAGCAGTGGGGGTGCAGAAGGAGGCAGAGAGGGGATAGGAGGAGAAGAGGGCATAGAGCAGCTGAATAGGAAGCGACACAATGGACCTGGGTGGCTGTGGAGGCGTGTTATCAAATGGGTTCCTCATTCACATACTGCGGCCTGAGCTACCTGTGTCTGTCTGTACCGGTGTCTGTCTGTTATACTTATTCATACCGCCCATTGTGTCCTCCACTGTTGAGTCGAGTTCAGTTCAGTTGAGAACGCGATGGAACGTGCCACAATGCACGAATATGGGCTGCGCTGCTCTGCTCCCCCCCCC